CGCCGATGGCATTGCCCTGCCGGTCCCGCAGCGCGTAGTATGGGGAGCCCCGCTCATCCTCCGCCACATTCACCAGCCGCCCCCGTGCCTTGTCGTACTTGAGCACAAGGTTGGGGCCATTGTACCTGCAGGTGTGAGCAGGGGCGATGGCCCCCTGTGGCTTGGGGACAGGATGAAAGCCCCCGTCCCACCCCTGGGGGGACACCGGGTGTGACACTGGGTTTTCCCCATGATGGGCACAGCAGAGACCTGCGTGGTCCATGGAGGCCAGGGACCCTGGGCTGCCCTCAGCACCCAAACATGGGGCTGGCTCCCAGCTGCCAACGGGGAGAGCTCAGCCTGGACCTGTTCCAGCCTGTATCAGGCATCCCATGTCTACCTGGCCTGGGTACCCCAGGGCAATGCCAGGGCAGGGGCGGGGTCCGGGCAGCCAGTGGAGCAGGATGGGGCACAGGTCCTTGCTTGCAGCCCTTTCCCAGGGCAGAGAAACCAGCATGCAAGGCAAATCCTCTCAGCACAGTGCACCCCACCGGCTCCCCGCCCGCTTCTGCCCTGTGTGCCAGTAAACAAGTTATACAATGGGCACCACGGCTGCTTACAAAACCCCAGCTGGCTGCTTGGCTCAGTCTGTCTGGGAGTGGTGGCCTGGGCCCCTCTGGGGTCCCCGGCGCTGCCCGTGGTTTGCTGCCCCAGGGTGATGCTCAGAGCAGTGGCAGGGCTAGGACCTGGCCGCCACCGCGGGGCCCCCCGCTCCGTGCCCCCAGCTCCTGCAGCCCTGCCAGATGGGATCCGTGCGGGTGAGGGGCTCCCTCCAGGTGAGCACGCCTGTGTGTGCAAGCCTCCCTTGGGGGTGAGCACGGTGGTTTGTACACAGACACGCTGCACCGGCAGCTCACAGCCATGCCAGCACACACACACAGAGCCCGCACCGTGGTCCCCGCTGTCCCTGGCCAGGGACGGACCCCTTGGCAGCAGCTGCTCCGTGTCCAGCCCTGCTCAGGCACTGGCAGCGCAGCACATGGCTCTCTGCCTCCCCAGCTCCTGCCAGCCCTTCCGAGCCATCACTCCAATAAAGGGCTATAAAAAACCTCCAGCCAATTAACTGAATCTCCGGAGAGCGCTGAGTCCTGTCAGTGGAGCCGAGCTGGCTTGGGGACATGCTGGCTCTGCACTGCAGGGTGGACCCCAGCTGCTGGGCAGCTGCCACCGCCCTGTAGAGGGGGGACCTGGCCCTGGGGCCAGGATGGGGGCATCCACGTGGTCCTGCGCAGGTGCCCAGCTGGCATCAACACCCTATGTGGGTGCACACACACACACACGTGGGTGCACACAGACCCCCACCCCACCACCCTTGTACACAACCCCCCAGCCGGCCACATGCCCATGGAGGACCAAGGAGCTCCTGGCCCTGCAGGGCCACCAGGTCCCACTGTCACTGAGGTGCTGGGTGCACCACTCACCCCGCCACCA